ACGTCTCTTCACTTAGACGTCCAGTGTGAGTAGAAAACATGGACATATCCATGAAACCCAGCCCTGTCTCGCATTCTTACAGAAAGTTATCGGGATTCAAACCAAAGTGTTGTGAGTTCTTCCCTGACCCGTACCTCATCCTACCTTCAAGTTTCATGCTAATCCACTCGTTTGGTGAAATCTTGCTTCAGATCAACAACCAACAAACAAAGGGACTGGGCTGGAAACATCTGTTGTTGCATCACTACACTATATGACGTCATTTTCTAAATTCATAGTGACGACATTCCCACCATGTGATCATAGATTATTTTTCATGTATATAAGCTTGAGGTCGTCTCTATAGTCCTATYAGAGGCAGGGATACASCAGGAAATGCTGCTTTAAGTAGGCATGATGTCATTCTCTAGCTTCTTTGTGACATCACTTATGAGCCATCTATCCTTTATATGATGAGGAATAATGTTCTGATCACTTGATTTCATGATCTTGCATGTTTGACACCAGACGCTCCAAAGGTTCCCTCTGTGTCAGTGAGTCCCTCTGGTGAGATCATGGAGGGCAGCTCAGTGACTCTGACCTGCAGCAGTGATGCTAACCCAGCAGCTCAACACACCTGGTACAAGGAGGACGAGGACTCACCAAGAGCATCAGGACAAATCTTCACCATCACTAATATCACAGCTGAACATGGTGGAAATTATCGGTGTGAGGCTCAGAACAGACGAGGACGTAGTGACGCCTCCTTACATGTGACTGTTGGAGCAGGTGATTTAAGCACTCGGACTCTTACAGCCTACACCCCGCCTCCTTTTCTTTGCTCCAGAACCTTAAACCATCAATACTCAGGATTTGCAGATGTCTCATAGCTGTATATCAAGCCCATCATATTGCACATGAACAATACTGACTGACCAACAGCATCACCTGGCAAACGGAGTCATCAGTCTCACCACACTGCTAATGTCTCCTATCTGTTGTCTAGGGGAGTCAGTAATAATCATGAATATCATCAGGCTGACTCTGGTGGTCGTGCTGGTTCCAGTGCTTGTCTGGACTCTGTGGACGAGGTACAAGAATAAAAATCCATCAGTTCACCCTCTGCTCTTTCACTGTCTCTTCAAATGTCTTCAAACACTAGTTTTAGTTCTGAAGTTCATTTTGTAAAATGTTGTTTGTTGTTGTTTTGGATCCAGGATGAAGAAAACTCTGAGCTTGAAATCAGAAGTGAATGAAGCTGTGGAGATGGAGGTGAGAGACAGTGAGGCCAAAAGAACCACTGGGTATCACTGTTTTCATCTCAATGTTAAAGAAGGAGATGAAACATTTCTTGGATCAGCTACTTTGTCTGAATCTGCCCCAAAATGTTTTTGCTCAATCCTGCTGATAAACAAACAGACAAATGGACAGGGGGCGCTATAACGTTCTAAACATTTGGAATGAACTGTGATTATATGCAGGTTTCATGAATAAAGTCCAGTGAGGCTTAATATTTATCATCTCTCCTCCATCAGTCAGACGATTGTCCTGAGTATGAGAACGTCACGGCTGCAGCAGAGACAGAAGACACAGAGGAGCAGGAAGAGCTGGTGTGAAGCATCAGAGCCACTGTGACAACAATAACAAAGATGGACGACTTCAGAGTACATCCGTACAAGACGCTGAAAGTATTTAAGAGGGGACAGGAAGTCTCTCTCTCTTCCCATCCGCGGTTGCAGCAGCAGTTTGTACAGCATGACCTTTAGAGCAAGAGTTTTATTGTGTTGTTTCTTTTCTTGTTCTTTTCTGATGGGTCCTGTCGTCCAGTGTTCACGGCTTTATTTCTGTTTGCTTTAGTTCTGATGTTGGTTTAGKTTGAAGGAAGATTCTCAGATCCTACGACTCTTTGTGGGTTGATGTGTTGGCTTTTCCTTCTTTTCTCCATTTTGCCGGCCTGTTGTTGAGCTTCTTGTCTTTTCTGCAATGAATGGACTTGTTTTTTTACTGTTTCCCCCCTGAACCATGTTGGACGTCTTTGTGATGAGCCTTTGAGGGTGTCGTAACACCACGTGACTCATCTCGTGTCTTCTACATGAAATTAATGTGGTTATTACAATACGCAGAAGGAAATCAATCATTATGTATCGTGATTTTATGATTCTTTCTTATGTTTCTGGTCTTTTGTTTATTTAGTTATTTTCAAGTTCAATTTTAAATCTTTCTTTAATTTGTCTTTTTGATATAAATCTTTATTGCATTTTAATGAGACACTGAAATGATGAGATAAAAAACACCAGTTTTTCTCAAATCTCCTTAAATTGTCTTCCTTGTTTCAGTGTGATGTGGACGTTACAGGTTTGATATGAACAGAAGACAATAAAGTCGTTTCTCACTCTGTTAAATGAAGAAGTTCAGAGTTTGTACGAATCACAAGTTACTTTTTTTAAAGTTTAATCTAACACTGACTTGACTCAGCATGCATGTAAATATAAAGAGGAAGGAAGTTGATGTATTTAACAGTTTTACTTCTTGTTCTTACAGATTCCGTCTTTACTCTCAGACTCTCCTGTGTTGTAGGTAGACGTGTCTGTGATGTGACTGAGTTTCGTCTTGTGTACAGATTATTTATCTGTGGACGTTTGAATAGTTTGAAGTCACAGATGAGAGCAGCAGCTACTATGAGTGGAACTGCAGCAGCGAGTGGATTTGTTGTCCTTCTCTTCGGCTGTTTGTACAGTCTTTATAAGATATCGTCTTTAATAAGGAATTGTCATAACCAGTCTGTGAATATTAAGTAAACCTTTATTATGAAGAAATTGAATCGGAATTTCAAACAACAAAACTAGAGACTGTCATTGAGATAGTACCTGTTTCTGCAGACTTATTTCACACCACAATGACCATTCATCACCTCAGAATTAAACTTCTAGTGATATGTATTACTCAGGTCACACATATGCTACATCTCCTGCTCCTATATTTGTTTGTGCAGTCAAATAAAGATTGTGAGGATATCATAAAAATTGGCCTTTTGAAAAAGTATTCCAAGTAAAGTATTAAAGCAATTTTTCATGACTTTGAGAAAGTTTCTCATTATAATGACTTCAAGGATTTAATTTTTTTTTTATCACAGCGACGGGAAATGTGCTCCCATAGTTTTTTATTGTATTCACACGGATATTACAAGAAGAAAAAATGTCAAATGTAAAATATGAAGAACAAAATTTCATTCACTGAGAGAAAAAAGGATTTTGTTCCATGTTTTTTTTTGAATCCTCCTCCTTTTCGCTGCCTGTCAGACAGCACTGAGGGCAGCGTGGGGAGGGACGCTGACACGGCGGAAGGGCTGTTCCTGTTTTTGTGGACTCCTCCCTCCGCTCCACACCCAGCAGCTGGATCCTCTCCGGGCGGACGGAGGTCACGGAGCCCGGCGGAGGAGGAGGAGGACATGGCCCGGGCCAACATCTCGGTGACGGAGAGTCAGTTCCGGTGCCCCATCTGCCTGGAGCTGCTGACGGACCCGGTGTCCATCCCCTGCGGACACACCTACTGCATGGACTGCGTCAACAGCTACTGGGACCAGGCGGAGGCGGCCCAGCTCAGCTGCCCTCAGTGCCGGGAGACGTTCAGCCCTCGGCCGGTGCTCCGGAGGAACACGGTGCTCGCCGAGGTGGTCGACAAACTCAAGCTGAGCGAGATGGTGGTGGCGCCGCAGCTCTACCTGCTGGGGGTCGGGGAGGTGCCGTGCGACTTCTGCCCCGCGGAGGGGAGGCTGCGGGCGGTCAAGTCGTGCCTGGTGTGCCTGGCGTCCTTCTGCGAGCTCCACGTCCTGCCGCACCGGGAGGTCGGCACCCTGCGGCGGCACAAGCTGGTGGCGGCGGTGGAGTGTCCGGCGGAGCGGCTGTGCGCTCAGCACCGGCTCGGCCTGGAGCCCGCGGGCAGCGGCACCGAGGCCGCGGTGGAGTGGAGCGGGGACTGTCTGCTGTGTGAGGCCGATCAGGAGGAGCTGCACGGGGCGGACGCTCAGAGAACCAGGAGACAGGTGAAGACACACACGAGGTTTCACTGAAGACGGTTCATCAAGACTCAGAACACAAACCTTCACCCTCAGTTAATCAATCAGAGGGGACATTTTTATTCCCACTGATGGTTCAGAGACTTTAAAACAAAGGGTTCCTGGACTCTTTACACCCGAGGAACCGTTTTTGAATGTTAATCATATCTGATCTGTAGATTTGAGATGAAGAGCTTTCAGAAGATACCAGATATTAGAATCAAACATTACTGTTGTCTTGATTCATGACTGTGACCCCTGGACTGAATCCTTCTAAAATATCATGTCCAATAAATGAATTTCATTTTAAGTAATCTGTTTTAATTAAATTTCCTTTTGTCATTATACACGAATCATCAGACAGACATTATCTCAGAGGTTTATAGAAGAACATTGATATATTTTGATAAATGCAGAATGAATGGACTCTTTAATTTGAACCAAACATAAAGTGAAATTCATCATTCATTGATCTGATTCTCCAGTTAACGAGCGGCCTCATTAAGCCCTGTAGTACTCTTGCAGTTACTGGGACACGTGTTTTCCGAAGAGAGTATTGTTTGTGTAGGAAGGATGAACTGCATGGCCCTGTATCGTAGCACAGCAGAAGTAAGCTGAGCTGTTTTCATCTGATAGATATTGCGGAACAATATTCTACAGAATGTCTTGAAATGAACAAAGTGCCGTCTCTGTCTTGTTATCTAATAATTGTCTGTGTCTGTCTGTGTGTCAGCTCCAGCTCCAGGAGTCTCAGCGGATGTTTCAGGGGAGGATTCGGATCGGAGAGCGAGAGATAGAAGAGTTTCGACAGAGCTTAGAGTCCCTGAAGGTGACACACACACAAGCTTCCCTGCTCATCCAGGTTTTTTACAGATAACGTACGGTCACCATGAGTAGAGACTGGAATCTAGAACTGGTTTCTGTTTGTCCGCAACCATCAGAATCATACACCTCCGACCTTATTGTTTCATTTATCGATACGATCATGTAAAACAGGCATTGCTGCGTTCCAGACAACTTGGATGTCAAAATCTTTGACTTGAAACGTGCAATGGAAAGGTTCGTTTGCATTTGACGCCGTCCCATCACCGTGCATTGGAGCGCTTGGAAGTCGGAAATTTAAAGTCAGAATATCCGACGCGGCACAACAACGTGCGATGGGCGTGCAGTGTCCTCATGCCCTCGGTCAGGCTCCACCCCCCCGCTCCTCCAAATATGGTTACTTCTGGTTCAATAAAACCAAGATGGCGCTGGACTAAAAGTCAAACTTGAGGCTTGAAAATGCAGCTCACAAACCACTGGGTGACGTCACGTGATCAACGGGGATCTCAGCATGGAGGAACGTTATTCAGGCAGCTTTAACATGATGTAATGTAAACAGTGGTGTTGTGCAGTGGCAGCTATTTAAAGCGCTCTGAGGTGAAGGTGACAGAAATAGACTCGTCTTGACATTTACACAGACGTACGGGCACAACACAAACCATCGCCTCTCTCTCTATCCCCGTCGTCTCTGCCACTCCCTCCGTCTTCCAGTAAAACCTTCCCTCCTCCCTCCTCTCGAGCTTTATCTCCGTCCATCCGCTCTGCGGCTGCTCGGGCTGCAGTGGAAAACCACTTCATCAGCTCAAGACAGCATCACACTCACATTGACCTCAAGTCATTTCTGCCTGTGCTCCTTTCTGCGGAGGATCATTTCTCACCAAAGCCACGTGAACCCGAGAATCTGAATCTTTATTTAGTTTATTATGCACGTGTGTAATAACAACACACGAAGGAATTAACTCAAAATGGCAGATTTAAGAGTTTTACTCACTTTATCTTATAAATTGTAATTTCTCTCGAAACAGGATATTGGAGAAACATCAAGGTTTAATTTAACATTATGCGATTTGCTTTTTTCTAAGGAAGTGTCCTATAGTAGTTTGACATCATTGTTTACGTTGTGGCTCAGGAGGTAGAGCAGGTCGGGGGTTCGATCCCCTGCTCATCCAGTCTGCTGATGTTTGAACCGTCCTTGGGCAGGACATTGAACCCCTGATCCCCCCATGTGTGAATGCATGAGTGGATGTGTGTGTGTGAATGTGACCCACACGTCCCCCACTGGTTAGTGAGCTGATGTTTGGCATTTTGTCCAGCGAGTCTACGTTTGTTTGGATTTACAGTTCATGATACAGTTAATTGGCTGTGTACCATGGTGTCTTGAAGTATGAGTTTGAGTCTAACTGCTGTTCCATTGTATTCAGGTGTCAGCGTCGGCTGTTCTGGAGGACAGTGAAGCTCTGTTTGCTGACATGTCCGTTCGTCTGGAGAAAACCAAGGCAGAGGTGAGGAGGAGTCTGAACAGGAGGTGCAGAGTTTAGAGCCAAGCCGATTTAATCGACCCGATGATTTGATCCTTTCACAGACACACTGGTATCAACATTCTTTGCCAATAGAAAAACTTTTATTTTACAGAATAAACAAAGCAGAAAAATCGATGCATTTATGGGAACTTTCTTAATTTAAGTTATATATTTGGTTGTATTAGTATTTATTGTAAAGTTCAATATTAGGCCTCAGTCACATTTCTGTGTCATAAGAGTTTGATAACAACATCTTAGTTGTCAGCCGATATATTAGTATCAGAGGTTTGTTACTTCCAAACACCGAAAATCCTTATTGGTCAGATTTAATAGTTTTAGTAATTGCAGTGAGCCTTAAAAACATTAGAAGTTTAAAGTAGAAGTTAAAAATTCACAATTTTCCTATGTATAATAATAATCAACAGCTAAATACTTTCGGTTCTAAAAAAATTATAATTCCTATATTTTTGTTAAACCGACCAAAGTAGTATCTTGACCATAGTATATTAAATCTTAGATAAAACAATAAATACTTAATTTATCATCTCACAAAATCGACCCTCCGCTCTGCACCCATGTGCAGCCGTACACTGGTTCTTTGATTCCTGCTCGGTGCGTCTCTGCTACACCCACAGTCCTGTAGGTGCTCCACATCCTCTGCTCCTGTGCCGTAGGTTCGAGCGAGGCTGGAGGCGAAGGAGCGAGCGGTGGTGGGGAGGGCCGAGCGCGACATCGAGATGCTGGAGAAAGACGTGGAGGAGCTGAGGAGGAGAGACGAAGAGATCAGTCAGCTGCTGCAAACTGACAACAACACACACTTCTTGCAGGTGAGGAGGAAAAAGGAAAAGGGAGAGAGGACAGAGCCAAGAGGGAGAAACTAGGGAAGACACACAGAGGGAGGACAAACATGTGACTGATGTAGAAAATGATCTGTTGTTTTTACAACCATCCAATAAATCCACTGTGAACTCGTCTTAGGCTTTTGTTTTTAAATCTCTACACATAATTGGTTTGGAAAATGATGATTCAGGACTGATGTAGAAAGTTCCACAGACCTGGACTGTGTTGCAACCTCGTCTTCATCATCACTGATGAAAAAGACAGATTCTGCCTGATATTATTGAGAGGAAACGGATCAATGAACAGCTGCATGATTTAAACAATAAACCTACATGTAGCTCGCTCCACTTAACGGGAGATAAACTCTATGTACTTTTATCCTCCCTGAGAGGTTCATACCAGAAGACAAGAAATGCATTGTCAATTATTGCATTTGATATTCATCCATTAGATCTAATGCATCCTGGAAACTAAGAACTCACCAGAGTAGAAACACCCAGAGAGATTAGTCTGTAGATGGGGGATGGAGGAGGAAGAATGGATGAGAGGAGAGAATGAGTCAGCAGTGACCAGTGGAAAAAGACAGCACCTGCCGAGGTGCTATTTTCAAATTCAATTGCACAAGGAATTAAGGAGGGAGGGGTGGTGCTGGGATGCAGATGTGACGCCCGGCTGTATTTTCCACTCTTTCTCTTTCACTCGGCTCAGGTGGCTCCTCTGCTGTGCGTCCCGCTCGCCTCTGGTCGGCACTCCAGAGCCCCCAGCTTGCCCACAGAGGCCTTCAGCGGCGCCAGGAGAGCGCTGTGCCACTTCCGCAGCCGAATGGAGGAGGTCTGCAGGGAGGAGGTGGACAAAATCAGCCGTGCAGGTACAAAGAATGACCCAAAGAATGTGAGATATGATGTGATGCAACGCACTAATAAATATATGGAATACTCCCAATGCTCGTAGGGTCATTTTAAAGACCTGAGCACATGGTATTAAAAGGATGAAGTAGATTTATGTTTCCAAAATAACAAATTGTACACTTTGATTTCTCCTTCAGTCAATGAGAACTACATGTCTGGTGGAGAGTGTGTAAAAGGTGAGCACAAGAAACATACACACACACACACACACACACACACACACACACACACACACACACAGCGAGGTCATCGAATTCAGCGTAACTCCAATTTATTTAAACTGATCAGTTCTCAGAGGCTTTTCGGTGACAGTTACAGCAAAAATTATAGATTTAGGATCAAATAGAAATAGAAGAAATAGATTTTTTGTGTGTAAATGTTTTGTGGTAAAAAAATGATATAAGTAAAACCTGTAAACTGAAAAACTGTCACATCCATGTCCCAGTTACGGCAGATTTGTGAAAACTTTTATTGAAAACTGAGAACTTGGACAAATGGGTCAATGTTTTGTCATTTTGTTTTGTCGTTATTTGTATTGTTTTATTATTTGAAAATATATCAAACACCATTCGTATCCATTGTATTGGGGAGGTGGCAGAAATCAGTGTGCGGAGAACACCGAACCTCAGCAAATGCAGCTGCCTGCAGGTCAACATGCTACCACAAGGGGTAAGTGGAGAAATGGGTTTTTAGCACATTTTGGTGAAATCACCCTTTAACTTGCGCAAACATCAAATTTGAGCTTTGTTGGGTAAAAAGTCAGATTTAGCAAATTTTAAACATTAAAGCAACGACTGGTTTGCTCTGTGCATGTAAACATACTGATTGAATAAAAAACACTTGCCGGCACATTTACCCTCTAACCTTGAAAAGTTGTGCTCTCCCCTGATTCTCTCATTAGTGGTCTTCTTCCACATTTTTATATTTCCTCTGTTTTTTCTCCTCTAATATGGACAAAAATGTTCAATAACATCTCTCTTTGTCTTTTTGTCATTTGTCCTTTTCCAGCAGTGCCCGTGTCATTCCCTCTGTCCTCTTTGTCTCTGCAGCCGGCTGATCAGAGGATGAGGACAGCTTTCCTCAGGTGTAAGTACTCCATCTTCTTTCAGGGCATATCCTCCAAACCATTCTTCGTCTTTCACCCTCGACCTCTTCATTTAATTTTCTCTCTCTCTTCTTCTCTATGCATCGCTTCTCCTCTCTTTCTATCTTTCTCTCCCCCTGTTGCCCTCATTCAGTCTGACTATCCTGCATGTCATCCCCCATCTTGCTCTCCTGTCTTCCTTCAACCCTCCTCCTCTTCTCTTTCACCTCTTCATGCTTCTAGTTCACCACATAATGAGGGTCCGGCCGGGGAAATCTGAGAGCCCAGTCTGGATCCTCATCAATGATGGATGTCAAATGGCATTCATACTGTATTTATGACATCCAGGTCCATCATTAAGACCGGCGCCTTGTCCCGTCAGAAACAAGCCTGCTGACGGGACGACAGCGTAGCAGCACCTTGTTCGACATAAATAAATAATTTGGTCAAACGAGGATTAAGGCCACATGTCATTTATCCCCGCTGTGCCAAAACGTTAGCTGAAACGATGGGCGGCTTAACGTGATGCTGTCGGTGTGGGACACACACTCTGTTCTTGAACTTGGGGAAAAGAACTGAGAGGAACAACTTGAAGAAATATCAGAAAAACAGAGACTGAAGGGTCTCCAGCAATTCTGATTTCAGCCAATTCTGTGCCACCATCAGCATAAAAAACTATTTCTCTTTAAGTCCAATCAGGTCCGACAGGACATGGAAAGTCCAATTTGAACCTGAGGGTCCACATCCTGCTTTAACATCACCTCAACTAGAGAGTTAAATTCATGATGGGAAAGGGGCACCGCCTCTGGCCATAACAGCTCATTGTGACTATGAAAATATCTCGCTGTAAGTTTCTCCATCAACTTCCTTTCTTTCTTCTCAGTTTCGTGTCGTCTGTCGTTGGACCCAGACACAGCCCACCCCACTCTGATTCTCCTGGAGGGGCCCCAGGGTGCCCACTGTGGCGAGGAGCCCCAGTCCTACCCCCCTCACCCACAGCGCTTCGATTCAGTGGCTCAGGTCCTGTGCAGGGAAGGCCAGTTCGGTGGTGCCAGTTACTGGGAGGTGGAGTGGAGGGGCGGGGGATGGATCGACATCGGCGTCACTTATCGAGGTATTGGACGTAAAGGTGGCGGAAAGCCCTGCCTCTTAGGGCGCAATGAGAACTCCTGGCGGCTGAGGTGCACACACGCAGGATATGCCGCCTGGCATGACAACCGTAAGACCACAGTGGCTGCGCCACCCTGCCCCAGGATCGGCGTGTTCCTGGAACGCCAGAAAGGAGTGTTATCCTTCTACAGCGTGTCGGACACAGTGGTGCTTCTGTACACATTTCGTTGCCTGTTCTCACAGCCGCTGTACCCGGCCTTCCGTCTGGACCTGGACTCCACACTGCTCATCTGCCCTCATGAGAGAGGCAACGGAAACACAACCTAACCCCCCGCCTCATTCAGGACCCTTCATTTACAGTACCTCCTGCAGAAAAGGGCTGTTCACTCTGCTTATGGATATTACTAAAACGCGAGGGTTGCTGGTGAAGTGGTAACAACATCAGGAAGAAGTATCACAGTCAGGAATCAGACAACTTTCATTTTCATTTGTGTGACTTGTGGCAAAGACAGATTTTTCTTCGTGTTTTTTTGTTGTAAATTGCCTTCGATTGCAAAATATTCTGTTGGATGAATCGGGCTGAGCTGTCCAGTGAACACTGTAGCAGATATTTTTTTACAATATGCCTTTGTCACATCGTACATCATGACCTGTCCTCGGAATTACTTAACTTACAAAGGCTCATTTTATTAAGGTGTCATGGAAGTGTGACATTAGCTGTGTCCCATTTCGAAAACTCCAAATATGGACGATAAGTGCGTCCCACCAATCCCAAACGATAAGGGATCCAATGAGGGGATCCTTCTAGGTTCAGTCTATCCAAGCAGTCATCGCACAAGCTAAATATGCTGGTGGCTAAACCGCAGTAAGTGCAGGAGCGCGAGCTAACGATGCAAGCGTAAGAGTGAGACAAGCTCATAATGCAAATAGGGAACTAGACCATCTAATCTTGGTTCGGCCTTCGTGGTCTATTTGGTCCACAAAGGAAGGATGTGGCTGCTGAATTGGGACATAGCTAGTGAGCAAATAGGTGAGATATCTGAACTGAAACTGAAACACCTTAATCGTAAACCAGCCATCATCTGTTTTACTGTTACTTCCTTTCTTATCCAAATGTGACATCACCTGTGTAAGAGGCCTGATGCATCACATCCACTTCAGTGGTTTACTACTAAAAAGTATTCACCCCCCTATTTGTTTTTACATTGTTTTGTCATGGTGGTAAAAGAAATGATCTGTATTTATGGAAACTGTTTTCTATCATAACATGGATGTTCTTTATTTAACTCAGTAAAATGACCTCATTCGGTTTTCATATGGAAAATGAAAAGTGGCCTCTGCTTCAGATAATAGAAAAATGTAATGTCATATAAGTAATTTATTATTTTGAAGATATGCTCATTCAGTCCAGATGTTTAGATTGATCATGTAAGTAAGCTACAACTAGCAGGTGGTTAGCTCGTTAGAATGTGCTCGCCTAGCCCAAAAAGTAAAATCACAGCTTCTTGTTGTTACACTTGACAGTGACGTGTTAATAAGTTTAATTTACAGGAGCTCGCAGCAGGTTCAATATATCCCGTCATTATGCTAAGCAACGCTAAGATAAGCTAATGGTGGCTTCAGTTTTACAGTGGAATCTTGAGAATGGTGTAGATCTTTTTTTATGTAAAACTAGGAACCGAAGAAGCATAAAAACCAAATTGTTCCTTTCGAGGCACCTTTACATCGCAGGTCTTCATTCTGTATTTTCTTACAGCAAGTAGCTAATGCTGGTGCAACAGAAGCCATTAAGCTTTTGACCACAAATTTGACTTATGGCGAATTATTATAATTTAGAATTGGGGAATGGGGGAATTTCCAATCCTGTCACCTTTAAATCTCGTATCCAGTCACATTTGATTTGTTCTCATCTCATATTCGTTCAGTCGAGGTTAAATTTGGGGAAATAAGTGACGTACTGCAAATTGAATCAAGAGAACATCAGGTGGGTTTTAAACGTCAGGAAACATATCAGACCAAGAACTTGAACAAATACTGTTTCTTTGAATGTAACATCACAACAGAGCAAATTATAACTTGAGCGCAAGACTGAGCTTGTCGTCTGTCTGAACGGACGTCATGTCCTCTGGCCACTGCAGCTTTTCTTGTGTTTCTCATCAGACCTTTCTTTTTGAATCTGTTCCAGAGGATTGTGATGATTTGACCGAGCACTGTGTGAGGCTTTTATGTCAGGAATTATAAAAACAAAACACACACGATTGTTACGTATAACCTATTAACTTTATATGCATTTATTAAAGGCATGTTCAGCAACAGACTAAAATCATATACAGAAAACCTACTGTATTACACATGTTACTACAGGAAATGTCCAAATGTATTGTAGCAATGCTACACGAGTACGTGTAGAGAATTCTGTTCATGAATTTGCCGACCTCATTATATCTGGCAGGTAAAGAAAGTTGTTTTTTTTTGCCATGAAGTGCATTATTCCACAAGCTGAATGACTGTAACATTAACTGAGGTGTGTACGATATAACTTTATCTCCTTGTAGCATTTTCACCTGTTTCCTCACTGTGCTGTTGTTCTTTAACGTGACTGTAAAACATGTTGGATTCTTCTGAGTGTCGCTTTTTCCAAGATGAGTTCATTCAATAGTAGCAATAAACCGATCCAGGTCTGAATCGGCCGGCTGAGGTCTCTTGTTTTTTAACAGTATATTTGCAACATGAGGACAATTATCAGAGAGGATTTCATACAGCAGACATGTTCTCTCTCTCTCTCTCTCTCTCTCT